GGTAGCCCAGGCTGGCCTCAAACTCACAGAGATCTGCCTGCCTCTGCCTCCCGAGTGCTGGGATTAAAGGCGTGCGCCACCACCGCCCGGCCAATAAATCTTTTTTTTAAATTGAGTTTTTATCATGCACTAGGTACTATACTGAGTCCAGGTAAGACAAAAGTGACAATCTAGGCTTTGGGGATTATACTGAACAGCTATGGAATCACACAGAAAGTTACTTTTCAAAACGAAGTATGTGTGCTTTGAGGCATTTACTGTAAATGACTCACAGGTCCTATCAGACTAAAAGGTAAGGAACAATTAAATGGTTAGAGAAATAATGTGTCAGAAATACTCATCTACACCAGGAGGAAATGACAAGATAAAGTTTACATTAGGAAACAACATAAATAATGTATTTAATTTAGCAATAATGAAGCTGAAGGTGACTGCCCTTGGCAGTAAGCTTCACAAATGGGACGAGACATGGCTATGTTTCATTTCTATGAAATCTTAGGCCTAGCCAGGCTGGTGGTGGACACCTGCAATACCAGCACTCAAGGGGAGGAGTAGGAAAATTGCCAGTTCCAGATTAGCCTAGGTTACTTCATAAATCCCTGCCTAATAAGTAATAATCAATTTTAGGGCTATCTGATTTACTATTTGGATGAAAATGTAAAGAACTTAAACCTTAAAGCAATATTAAAAATCAACTCCCTGCCAGGAGGTTGTGGCACACACCTTTAATCCCAGCACTCAGGAGGCAGAGGAAGGTGGATCTCTGTGAGTTCAAAGCCAGCCTGGTCTACAGATTGAGTTCCAGGACAGCCAGAGCTGTTACACAAAGATACCCTGTCTCAACCTCCCACCTCTCGCCGCCGCCGCCATCCCCCCCCCCCCCAAAAAAAAAAACCCAACAGCCTTCCTAGAGCTGGAAGAGTTGTTTCTGTTTTAGCAGTCATAAAGACTGAGGAAAAGAACAATTAGCTCTGGTATGGAGAATTCAAAAAAACCTCTCCATTTTGAAGGATCAGCTCAAGGAGAGGGACAAAAAACCCTTTGGGTGGAGACAAGAATACTTTTGTTACCATAAGCAGTGCAGTGAGAACAGAACAGGGCTGAGCTAAGGGCTTTCAGAAGATAAAGACAGACCAGAGAGCAGATAAGAGCCAGACACGCAGCAAGCTCAGTCAGTGATGAAGGTTATCTGGGAGGCAACAGAGAGCTAGGAGATTAGGTTCAAACTCACTGGATTTCAAAAGCAGTATCAACAGACCAGAGATATTTCAGAAGCAGAACTCAGCTCTTGGTGAATAACGACTAACAGAATTTAAGAGACAATCAAAACAAGTGAGAAGAAACTATGTCAAAGTGGCTGTGTCTAAAAATCTAAAATAATCCTAGGGCTGGCAAGATGGCTTGTCAGGTAAAGATACTTGCTGCCAAACCTGCGACCTGGGTTTGACCCCCAGGACTCACATGGTAGAGGGGAGAACTGACTCCCACAAGTTGTCTCTGACCTCCATCAACACGCCACCGCTTGCACATGCAGTGAATAAATGAAATGTAATAAAACTTCAAAAGACTAAAACTATATAAAGTAAAAAGCAGGTTCAAAGCAAAACAAAAAACAGCTCTTGGAAGTCTAGTTTGAACAGCTGGGATATTAGGAAATATCACTATTTCTTATTTATTTGTGTTTGTTTTTGAGGATGGATCTTTCTAAGTAGCCCTGGCTGTGCTGGAACTTGCTCTGTAGCCCAGCCTGGCTTTGAATTTACAGAGATCCTCCTATCTCTGCCTCCCAAGTGCTGGAACTACACCCAGCAAGATATCTTTTGCCCCCAGGAAGGACCAGGGTACAGAGAAAGGAAAGACGTGATTATAAAATCCTGGAATGCCGGGCAGTGGTGGCGCACGCCTTTAATCCCAGCACTCGGGAGGCAGAGGCAGGCGGATCTCTGTGAGTTCGAGGCCAGCCTGGGCTACCAAGTGAGTCCCAGGAAAGGCGCAAAACTACACAGAGAAACCCTGTCTCGAAAAATAAAAAAAAATAAAAAAAATTAAAAAAAAAATTAAAAATCCTAGAAGACCTCCATCTAAGTCCCTGTCTCCCATTTACTAAATACCTGATACCCATGAGTGATAATTTTTCTGAGCCTTAGTTTCCTTACAGACTGGACTTAGGAGACTCTAGAAGTAGAGAATATACACCCAGCACTTACGAACACGTCAAAGCACACCAGGGGTGGTGGTGCACGAGTTTAGTCCCAGCACTGCAGACGCAGGAATTCTTAAGTTCCAGGCCAGCCTGGTCTACTTAGTGTAACAGGGCCCGAGACCTTAGCACAACTGACTCCATGGAGGAAGTATCATTCAGGCTGTAAAACTCAGCATGTAGGGCGGGAGAGATGGCTCAGTGGTTAAGGGTATTGTCTGCTCTTCCAGAGGACCTGGGTTCAACTCCCAGCACCCACATGGCAGCTCACATCTGTCCCTAACTCCAGTTCTAGGGGGCCTGACCCCCTCACACAGACATACATGAAGGCAAAACACCAATGTACATAAAATAAAAATAAATAAATTATAAAGAAAAAACCCAGTATGTAGACAGCATTGCCTGTTAAACACTAAAACAAAGGCATAATCCATCAAAATCTATAGCTCTAGGAAAGTCTCTAAATGTACTATCCTTGGTTTTTGGCTTCTGTAGTTCTGCTTCTGGCTAACTGTTCTTGTGAACTGAAGTATGTCAACCCAAGACATGCATTTTTGTGCTTAAAAGCTCACCCTGAGAAAGGCTCAGGGCTACACTAGGATCCCAAATCCTCAGTGTACTTGCCGGCCAGTTAATAAAGACTTTCTATTGGTTTAAACCCACGTCCGAGCAGTCTTCTCTGGTGAATACCCCACAACAATAGTGAGTTCTAGGATAGCCAGAGCTACATAGTGAGACCCTGTCTTGAAAAAACTAAAACCAAAAAATAAAAGAACACATCAAAGCTAGGTATAGTAGCTCATTCCTGCAATCTCACTACTTGGGAGGTTAAGGCATGGTGAATGCTTACAGTTTGAGAACAACCAAGAAACCACTTAATGAGTTCTAAGCCAGCCTGGACTATAAAGTAAGACCCTGTCTATAGAAACAAGGCAACAGGAATAGGGAGATAACTCAAGGGATAAGAGCACTTGCTCTGCAAACATGAGGACCTGAATTCAAATTCCCCAGTGAAAATCATGACTGCACTTTCCTGTTCCCATAGCACTGAGAGACAGAGACAGGAGGAGCATGAGAACTTGCTGGCTGCTAGGCTAGGTAGCTAGCTATCAGAAATTACAAACTTCTAGTTCAGTGAGAGAACCTGTCTCAAGGAAACATGCTAGAGCGGGATAGAGGAAGACACTCACGTCTTGCTTTGGCTTCTCACATGCACACAAGTAAAATCAAACATGGAGAGACAGGGGAGGGGAGGGGGGGGATGGAGGGGAGGAGAGGAGAGGAGAGGAGAAGAGAGAGGAGAGGAGAGGAGAAGAGAAGAGAAGAGAGAGAAAGTATCTTTAGCTAGGCATGGTGGCTTATGCCTATAAATTCAGCAGGAGCATCAGAATCAGGAATTCAACATCATCCTCAGCTACATATCAAGTTCAAGGCCAGCCTTGAAGACATAGAGAGTTCCAAGCCAGCCAGAGCTGCATGGAGATTTGCTGCCTCAAAAAACAATCCATAGCAAAACAAACAAATTTTGAGAGGTGGGGTGCGGGGATATGGCTCAGTGGTTAAAGTACACTCTCTATGTAAGCATGAGGGACAAGAGTTCAAATCCTCAGGACCCAGGAAAAGCTGACGCAATAGCAGGTATCTGTAACCCCAGTTATGACAAGATGGAGGCAGAAAGGGAGAATCTGGAAGCTCAAAGCCAACTGCTGACCTTAGGGTCTTCTCGAAGCTTCCGATCCCATCTCAAAGGTAGAAGGTGTGGATGTTGTCCTCTGACCTGCCTATACGCACTGTGGCATGTGCAGCCCATACTCATACTCACACAGGTACACACACACACACACACACACCCAGACATATGCACACAAAGATAAAATTATACATATATGTATATACAGTCTTGTTTTTCTTAAAGTACATGGTACATAAGTAAATTGCTTAATTCCTACTTCCTTTAAATTGTCTTAAATATAAAACACACTGGAGTATTTTAGGGTAAATGCTATGATGCCTGAGATTTTCCTGATAATCCCCAAGAAAAAAGAAAAAAAAGAAGTAAGAGTCAGAGTGATGGGAAGGAATGCTGAAAGTGTATGCACGGAGGCACTGGGAGGCACAGTTATACTCGTTTGAGGTGTATTTGAAATTTCTATTCATGACATCAAAAAATCAAAACTATTATGCAAAAAATGGACAAGACTCAAATATTTAATTTATAAAAGAAGCACATTGCTAAGAAGCTTATACAAAGGTGCTATTCATCATTAGGGAAATACAAATTAAAATCAAAACAACAAACTATTCCCCATTTCTTAGAACAGCTACCAGAATCAAAGAAGCAGTAACGAAAAATGCCAGGGAGAATGCAAACAAGTACAGCGTGCACAGATCCAGCAGCTCCCCATGTTCCTCCGCAGAGAGGCCTGAACAGGACCAGTCCTGTAATGAACGCTTTCCAAACTTTATTTTAGGGGATCCTGGACTGAACTGGGCTGTATGCCTACTATGCAAATGCTTATCCACTGAACCTCCCCCATCCTGCTGCTCACCTTTTTTCTTTGTTTTGGTTTTGGTTTTTTTGAGACAGGGGTTCACTGCCTTGCCTGTCCTGGAACTCACTCTGTAGACCAGGCTGCCTCGAACTCAGAGATCCGCCTGGCTCTGCCTCCTGAGTGCTGGGATTAAAGTTGTGTGCCATCACACCAGGTCCTGCTGTTCATCTTAACTAAGGACTCACCTGAAGTGCAACAATAACCCTATAATAACAATTTTCCTTCTTTACAATATCTTAGATTTGTTTTTATGTTTGATCTTAGCAACCTAGCATTTACTTTACATGAAAACAGAAATAGCTAGCCAGGAGGTAGTGTATGCCTTTAATCCCAGCACTCAGGAAGCAGAGGCAGGTAAATCTCTGTGAGCTCGAGGCCAGCCTGGTCTACAGAGCAAGTTCCAGAATAACCAGGACTATCCTGTTTCCAAAAAAGAAAAAAGAAAAGAAAAGAAAAATGAAAAAAAGGAAGGAAGGACAGATGGACGGAAGAGAGAAAAAGAGAGAAAGAAAAGCTGTCTAGAGTAATATGACTACACTCTAGGCCCCTTAACCAGTTTCTTTGGTTTATTAAGCCAAGAACTTTCACCTTTTCACCTAAAAGATGTCCTTCTGTGGCTCCTCTTCCTTCATTACATTTATTTACTCACTGAGAGTATGTATGTGTAGGGACACACAGGTCACAGTGCGAGGGAAGACTGGAGGACAATTTGCTATTTTTGCCATTTGGATCCATTATTAAGTAAATAAAGGTTTTGAACCCAAGCACTGAAATACTGAGTTAATCTAGTAACAATTAGCTACTAGGTAACTAAGGCATTCATTTGTGTACACAGTGTGGATACACTGCCCAAAGAGATTACTCCTGTTCCAAGTGGACAGAGCAAGTGAACAAGAGATTTCCTCATGCCACTCAAAGCAGGGTGCAATCTAAAATGCACGAGTTACTCATTTCTGAAGTCTGCATTTAATACTTTCAGACATGGTTGACTGCACATAACAAACTATGGAAAGAAAAACTGGCTAAAAGAGATTCACTTCAGTATAATTATTCTTGTCAGCTGTCCGGCACTTTCCAGTACAGTAAAAACAATTCCCCTAGGTACTGACCTTAGAGACATGAAACATGGAGCTGCAAGAAGATTAAAACAAGAATGCTCACAGCACTCTTCTTTAAGTACATAAAAATCTAGAACCAACCTAAATGTTCCCTACCATGGGAATGGATAAACAAGTTGTTATCTAATAAAAGCAATACAAAAGATGATAGAAGCAATTACATGGTGGAATCTAAAAAAAAAAAAAAACCCGCTATCTTTTTTTTTTTTTGTTTTTTTTGTTTGTTTGTTTTTTATTTTTCGAGACAGGGTCTCTCTGTGTAGTTTTGGTGCCTGTCCTGGATCTCCCTCGGTAGACCAGGCTGGCCTTGAATTCACAGAGATCTGCCTGGCTCTGCCTCCCAAGTGCTGAGATTAAAGGCGTGTGCCACCACCGCCCGGCAAAAAACAAAAACAAAAACAAAAAACGTTATCTTGAGAGAAAGAAACCAAGCATAGAGAAATACCTACTAAATGGATTCATTTGTTTGAAGTCCAAGAATAAATGAAACTGATCTACTATGCCAGAAATCAGAATGGCAGCTGCCTCTGGGAGAAGCGTCAGGGAGATGGGAAGGAGGCAAGGTCTCAGTTCCACAGGAGAGCCAGAGGAGTGGACAGCTGCCAGTGCGTGGAGGAGCAAAGGGAAGAGCAGCAGACCTGCCAGCCACGAGCTTGCTCAGCATTCCATTTTCCTGCATGATAACACTTCAAAAGCCATCTTCTTCTACATAGTTTCTATTTTAATTCACAATGACTGTTGTTATGTCTACGGTCAATTATCTTCCATAAAGCACACCACAGTCCCAAGAAATGAGTATTTTTATTTTCTTTATCTCGCCATTTTTAGATAAATTTCTAAAGGAACTTTAAGAAATCCAAAGAATTTTAATAAATTGTTTGAAGGCTAGTTATAGAGATTAAAAATGATAGAACTGGGATAGATCAATTCCTTTAATTACTCAATTAGGTATTTGAGTGAGGCCCAGTGGTCAGGCCTACAGTACTATCTACATGGAAGACTGAAGCAGGAAGGTCCCTTGAGCCCAGGAGCTGGAGGCTAGCTGGGACAAGAGTCCTTGGCTCAAAAGTCCAAAGTATCTCTGTGAGTTTGAGGCCAGCCTGGTCTACAGAACGAGTTCGAGTACAGGCCCCAAAACTACACAGAGAAACCCTGTCTCGAGGGAAAAAAAAAGTCTGAAGTATTCAGCGAATGTCTGCTTCACAGCAGGTCTACAGAAGTCGAGTATAACAATGGGCTACTGTTTTCCTGATTAGAAAAACCAGGTTTGATGGGAACAGAAGCTGCTGCATTCGGGGGAGATGAGATCAGCAACAGTGTCAACAAGAACACTATTTGTTGCCAAGATCTAGCGCAGAACAGATGAAGTATGCATTTCAGACAAGAAATAGAAACTATGTGTAGACAAATCTTTGAAACAGAAATCTAATTAAGGAAACCTGGTGATATAGTCCTAAAACTTAGGAAGCTGAGGCAGGAGGATCACTAGTTTGCAGTCAGTTTGGGACAAAGACTCATATCTCAAAAACAGAAAAACAAACATCGAAAGGGTTTTGTTTTGGTGTTTTGTTTTTTGTTTATTTTAGTGTGTATTTTTGTGTGCCTGGGTGTATGTATGTTCATCATGTGCATGCAGGAGCACTTGGAGGTCAGAGAGTGTGTCAGATCCCTTGGAACTGGAGTCATAAGCAGTTGTGAACCATCATGTGGGTGCTGGGAACTGGACCTGTGTTCCCTGTAAGAGCAGTAAGCTCTCTTAACCACGAACCCATGTCTCCAGCCACTGTTTCTAGTCTTTATGTGACAAGGTCTCACTATGTAGCCCTGGTTGGCTTGGACTTGCTATGTAGACCAGCTGGCCTTGAATTCACAGAGATCCCCTTTTGTTTTGTTTTGTTTGTTTGTTTGTTTGCTTGTTTGTTGAGGTAGAACTTCTTTGTGGAGCCCTGACTCTCCTGGCACGAGCTTTGTAGACCAGGCTGACCTTAAACTCACAGAGATCCATCTGCCTCTGCTTCCAGAGTGCTGGGATTAAAGGCATGTGCCACCACCACCCGGCCCTCAGAAAAGTTTTTAAAAGATGACAGCTACTGGATTTCTTGGTGTAATAATGAGAACAAGTAGGAAGGGAGAAGAAAGAGAATGATGTCAAATGGAACCCAGATAACCAAATGGCCAAAGACACCAAAGGGGACGAAACCCAGGAACTTTCACCCTCGGAGCTGAATAACAGTGCTCACAGCAATAGCGGATGCCTTCCTGTCAGCCTGGGGCAGCGGGAAGATGGAAATGCTAAGTCCTGTAAGGGGTGATATAGGTGACATGGAAAACACTGGTCTGATTAAAAGTCATCACACAGGGAAAGGATACTCTTGACAGCACCTAGCCCCTGTACATCCTTTATACCATCCTGCTTTGGCCTACAGTGACACCAATGTAGAAATAAGACTCACATCATCCAATAACTTGCTTCCTTTTGGATCCCTCTTAGAAAGTTCTCGAAAAGCTTCATCCCCAACAAAGCAAATTTCATGTCCATCCTTTACCAAAAAAGAGAAAAGCAATGTGAAAAACCAATCTTTGCAGCAATCCCCAGGACGGCCTGTCCCCTCGCTAAGCGGTACTTACAGGGTCAGCCAGGATGACTACCTGCACTGTTGCCTTGCCTGGGGTATCCAGACTCACCAGTGGAGTCAGGATCGACTGGTTCTCCCTTTTCATCAACTCTTCTAAGTCTGGCAACTTGAAAAACACAGAAAGGCAAGTGAGCGAGGGTGACATATCACTTCTATAGATGGATTTTATGATCTCAGTGCTTCTTAAAAGAAGGGTTAAGCATGACAGCAAAGCCACAATCAGAATGAACTCATGGAAAGGAAGTCCAAGGTTCTTAGCTAGGTTGAAACCAGACAGTGACAGAGCTTAACCAATCAGGCTGGGGGCTGGAGAGAGGGCTCAACAACTAAGAGCAAGTACTACTCTTTAGGGGACCCAAGTTCAGTTTCCAGCAACCAGTCAGGGGGTTCATAAACGCTGGTAACTCCAGCTCCAGGGGGAATCCAATGTGGGCACACACACACACATGCTGTGGGATGTTAATGTATGTCCTGTGGGAGCCCTTCTTGGGTTCCTTGTGGCGTTACCCAGCAGGTTTGCATAGAGGATGATTAGGACCATGGGCCTGAGTGCAAGTGTCTGAGATGGTCTGCACTTGGCTGTACTGGGGGATGGTCTGTATGTCAAGTTGCTCTGATTGGTCAATAAATAAAACCTGATTGGTCGTGGCTAGGCAGGAAGTATAGGCGGGACTAACAGAGGAGAAATAAAAGAACAGGAAGGCAGAAGGAGACGCTGCCTGCTACTGCCAGGACAAGCAGCATGTGAAGATGCTGGTAAGCCACGAGCCGCGTGGCAAGGTATAGATTTGTAGAAATGCGTTACTTTAAGATATAGGAACAGTTAACAGGAGGCCTGCCACGGCCATACAGTTTGTAAGCAATATAAGTCTCTGTGTTTGCTTGGTTGGGTCTGAGCGGCTGTGGGACTGGCGGGTGACAGAGATTTGTCCTGACTGTGGGCAAGGCAGGAAAACTCTAGCTACACACACACACACACACACACACACACACACTAAAACAAATTGCAAAAGGAAAAATAAGGAGCCAGAGAGATGGCTCTATGGAGTTTGGTTCATCACACCCACTTCAAGGGCTCACAACCCCCTGTAAGTCTAAATCTGGGGAATCTGACAGCTGCCACAGACACCTGCACTCACATGCACATAGACACACACACTTAAAAAGAATGAACTCTTGAAAACAAACAATTAGGTTATCAAATAGTACCTCTTTCTGAGGACAAGAAAAGGCAATTCTTCCAAAGGCTGCTGCATGATCAACTGCACCCTTGATGCCCTGTAGCTCCAGCTTACACTGAAGAGAAATAAGAAAGTGGGCTGATGCTTTCTGATGAGTCATACAAGTGTGCAGTATAAAAGCTCTATCATGCTTGCTAAGATGCTTCCCATGCAAGTGTGAGGAGCTCGGTACAGACCCCAGCACCCACACAAAGCTGGATGTGGTAGCACTGGTATGTGATCCTACCATTCCTAGAGTGTGACAGGAGGCAGCGACAGGAAAAACTCCAAAGCTTACAGGTCAGCTACCATGAACAAAAACTGAGGCACTGGGGGCTGGAGAGATGGCTCAGAGGTTAAGAGCACCGACTGCTCTTCCAGAGGTCCTGAGTTCAATCCCCAGCAACCACATGGTGGCTCATAGCCATCTGTAATGAGATCTGGCACCCTCTTCTGTATACATAATAAATAAATAAATCTTAAAAAAAAAAAAAAAAAAAAAAAAAACTGAAGCAGTATCTGAGTGGTAGTTATTAGTGGGTTTTGTTTTCGTCTGCTCATGCAGATAAACACTGATTCACTGTTAAGAAATCACAGGGCCACTTTCATGGTAACCAGATGTATGAACCACAGACAAGCCGTTCCTCAGCAAGCGCACTCACCTGGTCATCAGCGTAGCCCAGCAAAACCCTCTGCTTCTCCTCGTCATGCTCATAAATTTTCATCCCCAGGAGATTAGACCAATAGTTCAAGGACTTCTGGAAATCAGTCACTGCTAGAGTTACTTTTAATACAGGATCTGTGAGGTGAGGAAACAGATGAATGAGGTCACTTCAGTGGAATGGGCTAAAGTATAAGAATTGAGCTTAGGAGGCTGGAGGGGGAGTGTGTGCCCAGCATACAAGGCTTTCCATTTCATTTCCAGCAACTCTCTTCCTAGCTAAAGAATTCAGTTTATAAGGAAAGAATTTTAAATCAATATGAAAAGAAACATGATCCAAATAAATGACAGTACGATGATCATTTGGTGGGGGAAAGCTACATGTTTGAATTAAATAGCAGAATGTATTTCTGATGGTTAAAGGATTAAATTTAAAGAACAAAGGAAATACAAATAATTGGTTTTTCATCTTTTAATTTTGCTGTCTTGACAACTTAGCAATGTTAACTATTTTATTGCAGAGAAGGGCACTAAAATGAAAAATACTGACAAGAGTGTAAACTAGAAAATTTGTGGGAAAGGATTTGACAGAATGTACCAAAAGTTTTAAAAATGTACTGAAAAAGCAAGTCCATTCTCAGCAACTCAGAGAGTAGCTGTGGTTGTGTGAAGGGCTTTTTATCACAAAGGCATTCAACAGTGCTGCCCAGAACAATGAGACACTAGGAAAAACAAAACACCCAACAACAGAGGCTGCTCAGTTCTGTAACGCAACGCTGCCGTGGAATTCCTGCAATGGCTTAGGCAGGGTACATTTATATATGTGTATGTATTGTTTTGGATAAAAGATCTGGAAGACAGACTCTAGAATGTCCACAGTAGTTACCTTTGGACATACGAGTACTGCTTTTTCCTCCTTATCGTCCTCCTCTCTGCTTCATCCTGCTTTTGTATATATAATATGTATACTTACCTTCTCTTCTAGGGTAAAAAAATCTGCAAGTGCACATTCACATACACACGTAATTTAAAAAACAGCACCCCACCCCACCCCCGCCGCAGCTAACACATAATGGAAACATGTCATATTGTAAGTTGATTTTCTGATCCCCAACCCCACCGCCGCCGCTGGTGCCAGAGCTTGAACCCAGGCCCCTGCGCATCAGACAAGTACTCTCATCATTCAGCGGCAGCTCCAACCCTGTGAAGTAGTTTTCCTTTTCTTTCTTTCTTCTTCCTTTCCCTGCCTTTTTTATTTATTGCGATATAGGAACTTTACCTAGGACTTCACACATGCTAGGCAAGCATTCTATCCCTGAACCTCTTTTGTCCATGTTTTATTTGGAGACTGGCTCTCAATAAGTTGCCCAAGTAGGCCTTCAGGCCTTACCTCAGCCTATAACCCTCTTACTAGCTCTGATTATAGGTCTGTGCCATCGGGTGTGGCCAAGGGAACTTCTAAGAATGGTTTACAACTACACCTGACTCATGTGACTGTGACAAATTCAGTGTATTTTTCCGTGGTTTTCATCACCTCCACCCCGCCTGACTAGCAATGCCAAGACTAACCGTGGTGCTTCTCCCAGGGCCTCCTCCTGGAAGAGTCAAGTTTATTTTTCTCCACTGATTGTAAAATCATCAAATCCAAGTTCATCGAGAACCTGAGCTCAGTGGTAGAATGCTTGCCTAGCATGCCTGAGACCTTAGATTTACTCCCTATAACTAAGCAAAGAGCAAAAACTCTCCCCAGAGCCAGAAGGGCTGCAGGACAGGCACAGGTGCCGTCCAAATGGACCAGCAGGAAATGAATGCCTCAGATGTCTTAGCAAGGTAAAGGACAAAAGCATCTTTGGAATGTGGAACTCGCCACTACTTAAGTCCAGGCTGAGTATCTTTTATTTGAAAAGCTTGGGACCAGAAGTATTTCAGAATTTGGAAAACTTGCGTGGGCTTTATTGGTTGAGCATTCCTAATCTGAAAATCCAAACACTAGAATCTCAAGCTTACAGAGCACAGTGCACAAGCCTGAGACTCCAGCACTTGGGAGGTTGAGGCAGTAGGATCTTTGAGTTCTAGGTTAGCCTGAACTATGTGTTTAGACACAATTTTTGGTATTGTTTTTGAGACAGGGTTTCCCTGTGAGCCTTCTCTGCCTCCTAGTCCTAAGACACAGTCTTAAACAAACAAATAAAAATTTAAATCTGCTATTTTGGAATAGGGATATTCAACCTGTATTAAGCAGACAGAGTATATTAAATCTGACCAGAGAGTGCTCTGGTAGATTCCAGACAAGGTTTGCTTGAAGGCTCCTTCCCAAAGTGAATATGGAAGCATGGAGTCTCACCTGCTTCCAGCATCTCCTACTAGTTCGGGGACTAGCTCTAACAGCATGAGAGGACAACCAAGAGAGAAAATCTGGGGTCTCCAGATGGCTGGTCTGAGTAACCAACTAACCCTCCGTCTTCCTGCTGCTCTATGAACTTGAAACACCTTCTTATTGTTCAAACTAGTTTGAGTTGGGTTTGCTGTTATTTGCTGCTGGAACAAAAATCCTAAGAAGATACATTATCTGTAGAGTAGAGCTAGTCTAGATTCTCTGTAGCTCTGTGCTAATGTTTACGTACGGGTTTAACTTCCCAGAACACAGGCGAGAGCACTGGCTTGGGAGACCACGGTCAACACAGAAGAACTACAGAAGAGAAGGAACTGCGCCCCGCGCCCTCCCACCCTCCTCAAACGCACCCTGAGCCAGGCTTTTGCCTGGCCTGGTGTAATTACCTGACTGGGGTAGACTTCGATCCTGTAAATAGAACTTATATCCTCCTGGGGCCTCAGTTTCAAAAACTCCTTCTGCAACTTGACTGAGTGGCCACTCCAGCTTCCTGGCGTTGCTGACAGCCTGGCTGGAAGCAAGTGTGATTCCCTGTGACAAATAACATCCGCATACAGCATTACAACAGAGCTCTTCCAGGACAAGATGAGGAACCAAAAACACCTAAGACTTAATTGGCATTTTCTTACAGGGATTTAAAGAGGGTTTTAGATGTTTTCTCCAAATTCTTCAGATTTAGACTTTTATAAATCACAGCAAAGATATTCAAATGTCAGTGATATGTGACCCATTTAATACCAAAGGCAATCTCTTCAGTTTTCAAGATCTAAGAAGAAAAATCCTGCTCTTTCTTGGACTGGCTAGCTAACCATTTGAGACAACTTGAATTTAGTTATTCACTTATGAGGCTGACCTTGAACCTGGAGCTTTGTTTATTCTAGGTAAGTGCTCTACCACTGAGCTATATCAACAGCACACTTTTGGATTTTAAACACAAGCACTTTAACTATGAAGACGTTCTTTAAGCAAAGTTCTGCTGTGGGATGGTCTGTATGTCAAATTGCTCTGATTGGTCAATAAATAAAACACTGATTGGCCAGTGGCTATGCAGGAAGTATAGGCAGGACTAACAGAGAGGGTAAAAGAAAGAACAGGAAGGCAGAAGGAGTCACTGCCAGCCGCCACCATGACAAGCAGCATGTGAAGATGCTGGTAAGCCACAAGCAAGGTATAGATTTATGGAGATGGATTAATTTAAGCTATAAGAACAGTTAGCAAGAAGCCTGCCACGGCCATACAGTTTGTAAGCAATATAAGTCTCTGTGTTTACTTGGTTGGGTCTGAGCGGCTGTGGGACTGGTGGGTGACAAAGATTTGTCCTGACTGTGGGCAAGGCAGGAAAACTCAAGCTACAAAGTTCCCAACAGCATATAATCCTGCCTCCTGGGAAAGCATCCTTGCTCGCCCTGGACACTGCAGCTGCCTCTGTTCTGTCTCTTGTCCACTCTGTAGCCACAGGCAGCATATCAAAAGGTGTCCTACAGCTTATTCTCAAGCAACCCACCGGCTCTGTTTTCCCTGGATGGCTCTTAAAAGGCCCAGCACTGTGCACTTTTTTCCCCTTTGAGGCAGCCCTGGCTGGCCGCAAGAACTCATAATCCTCCTGTCTCAGTCTTCTATACTGGGATGACAGTCCAGAGCCACCATATTCAGCTGTCACGTCACTTCCCCAGCTCCTACCACCTTCCCCCACCCTCTCCACTCCAGCTACTTCTTGACTTTTCCCAAACAGATGCTGGTCGTGCCCCCCTCCACCGAGACCCCTCCCCTGTCCACAGGCCTGCCTGCCTTCCCTCCTCTGAACTCACTCCACTGCCATCTCAGAACAACCTTCTCAACTTCAAATGTAAAGAGCCATCCAGAGCTGGAGAGATGCTCAGCAGTTAAGAGCACTGGCTGCTCTTGCAGAGGACCTGGGTTCAGTTCCCAGCACCCAGTTGGCAGCTTACAACCATCCCTAACTCCAGTTCTAACGGATCCGACACCCTCTTCTGACCTCTTCAGATACTGCATGCACATGGTACACATACATTCATACAGGCAAAACACTCCTATTTTTTAAATTTATTTTTATTAGTTTTAATTATGTATAGATGTATATGTCTGTGTTTATATGTGTGCATGCAAATATAGGTACTAGTGAAGGCTGGATGTTCTTTTTTTTTTTAAGCCAACTTTCTGACCTGGACTATTATAACCATCTCTGCCTCATGCAGACACTCATGGGACAGAGTGATATTTACCATGAAGTCATTGCCAAGCTTGTAGTCTCCAATGCCATAATTGTATGTCAGTTCTGCAACAAAATGATCATCCTCGGGCCCGAATCCCACCATTGTTTTACTCCATTTCCCATCATAAGGCCTAGAAAAAAAAAAGGTAATGAACTCAGTGGTCACAGGAAAAATCTGCTTCCTACTTTGGGACACAGTGAGGTGGCCAGTCCCTTTGGGTCCCATAATTTCTAAATACGGATGAGATGACCTCTGAAGGTGCTGACAGCAGTTGTGGACAGCACTCAAGCACCACAACCACACACTCCACAACCACGCATCCACAACCACGCACTCCACAACCACGCACTCCACAACCACACACTCCACACACCGTCCATTTGGCACTGACCTAAGGGAAAGATCTAGTTACCTCTGAAAACTGTAGGGAAAGCAAGTCCTAACAGCAGCTCTCTAGTCTAACCTCAGAAAATGTCTTTGCATATCAGTAAGCATGCAAGTCCTAATGGACCTTGGAAGCTTTCAACTTGCCGTGGATACTAAGCTTAGGAGACTCAGCCATTCCACTACCCACTGCATGTACTTATTTGTGCCTGTAGTAAAATATGAAAAAAAAACAAAAACCTGTCTCTGCTAAGATTCCTGGCATAGGGCTCCTTAAGCCTTAGGGTTCCCTGTTAAGTGGGCCCTGTATTCATGAACTCCTTCTGGAATGCCTGGGTTTACCATAATGAACTGACTGAAGGTGAGGTTGAATAGCCTGAGGATTTGCCTGGTTGTCAAGAAGACCAGAAGATTAGAATGTTCAGCCACATGCACCTTTGAGAAGGGGAGGGGTGGAGAGGAAACACTATCAATCTGTGTAAAAACTATTCAACGAGATTTGACAAGTTTGTGGGTTGTTGAAGCCTGGAGGTGCTGGGATCATGGAAGCCAGTGGAAGTACCATCCGCCTTCTCTCCATACCTTTCTGCACACAGCTCTTCTGCTTGCCTCTTCCCGATTTGCATCCTTTATAATGAGCCAGGAAATGTAAATAGTGTTTCCCTGAGGTCAGGAGGAAGGGCCACTATGATTTGTAGCTGGTCTCATAGACCTCCAGATAGACAAGGAACTGTTAAACAGTCAGAGAACTGGCTGGGGTTTGGAGTCCTGGAGAACGGCTTACTGCAGCTCAAGTGCTGTGTGAAATGCCGAGAAACAGCCTGAGCCCCACTGCTGTGTAGGTAGCGTCCCGTGTTTCCTGCCTCCTTGTAAAAATTACTTATTTATTTATTTTCTGATTCACCCTGCCGTATCACACTC